AAATGTAAATMCAATAAATTTTATTCAATAGATACACATACATCCTTGAAGCGCCAACATCCATAGTACAAAGAAGAGGAGATGATACTCTAACATACTTAAACAAAGGTAAATTTTAATGGGTCATATTAAATGAGAATGAGTACAATTAAAAGCTTTGAATTAAATGTTTGTTTTTCTTTTTGTAGGCCAGTTTTATGCAATAGACTTTGAAGGCAATGTTGATCCTCCATCATCTGAAAATGATATCATGAGAGTCAAGGTAGGCAAAGATACTGTAAATCAAAATGATAGTCTCAGGGTATTGGTGATCACAGTGACAGCATCACCAATGACATCACAGTATGTTTACATTGTGGATAGATGTTCAGAAAGACTTGAAATTTGGACCTATTAACATTATTTTTGAAAGTAGAACTTGAGCGTATTGAGTTTTGATGTACATCATTAATCAATGATGGCTCATCTACATTTTATTTGATATGCAGTTACTCTGATCCGCTCTAGCGACCATAATCCTTAGCGTTAAAACAATAGAATGTTAATGTTGTGATGTAACTATGTGATAGGGCAATCACAGCACAATAAAGTATGATATCTGAGCCTATCCTGTCTATAGTGCCTTATTTTTCAGCAAAACATATTTCTGTAATATAAATTATTAAGTGAAAATAAACATTCATTGTTAGACTATTGTACACTTGGTCTTCCGTGATGAGAAAGATCCACGAACAGAGCTCGAACACTGGCATTATTGGCACAGTCAGCAACCAAATCCACAACAGAGAGCTTTTGATGTTGGTAAGAAAGCATAAAAATAAAGTAAAATTGTCTTGAAGATAGTTAGTACTTGTTTATAAAACAGGCCCTTTTTGTACAGTAATAATTTTACTGTGTTTTCAACAAAGGGAGCTATTTTCAGCTATTTCTTATGAGCAAGCACTTCGTTTATGGTGCATCTTTACTGTTGGATGTTCACTAAGCAAAAATTGACTTTAAAAGACAAAACAACAGTTCACAGCTGGGCTCTTCATWTACATAATTTTTCACTTGTTTTGAAAAACTCCCCATTTGAGTGGATCGTTAAGTTCATTGAAGTGTGAACTTTACATAGAGTTAATTTAAAATGCCAAATGAAACTGAATTGTTTGTAAATATGTAAACTGGTATTATATTATTTTTATGATAAATTATTTAGCTTGAAGTTAATTAGAAATTTGACATAGACACCGTCCTCAATGATACGTTTTCTTCATTTTAGATCGTAAATCCTGTCAGAATATAGATGAAAACATAGATGATTTAGCTTATAATGCAGCAGGGTTTATTTGGAGTCCTCATGTTAATGCAAAGATTGTCATTCGTATTAATTGTCTTAGTACTGACTTTTCACCACAAAAAGGTGTTAAGGTATGAAAACTACTTTCTTTCAAACATGTTTCTTACAGTTGCTTTCAGCCATCCTCTCTCTTTTAAGTTTTTTTCTTTGTTTTCACTTTCTTTTACCCTCTTCTTTTATCCATTCATTACTTCCCTTTCTTTCTTTTTCCCATTATTGCATTCATTTATTTTCCCTTCATTTCTAATTCATATAATTTGTCATGTTTTTCTCTTTTTTTCTTTCTTTTGTTCATTATGTTTCTCCCACCATCAACTCTCTCTGTGCACGTTTCTTACTTATTTCAATAATATTGTTTAGATGTCAATGTATTTAATAAATTGTTTCCAATTTCAGGGTATTCCTCTTCATCTTCAAATTGATACATATGAAGATCCTGACTCACCAGATGCTGAGCCAATTCACAGAGCATTCTGTCAAATTAAAGTGTTTCGTGATAAGGTACTTAATTTAACAAAAGTCACTGTTYCACTGTGCGTTTTTCTCAAGAACATGTCTCRGAACTGTGTTCCAAAAMAARTTTCTATTTGTTGTTCACACTTTGTTCATTGTTGAATTCGGAAAGGAATTTTCATTTTTTTAGTGGCAAATGTTTGTTTTTACCATACCTTTGGCATTAAACATATAGTTATTGACTAAAAAAAGGGTTTTATACATGTAGCTACAAATTATTGATAATRGTCAAGTTGCACTATCTTTGGTTTCAATYTTGTCTGCTCTAAGCGACCACTTRCTCTGTTCATTTAGGGTGCTGAAAGGAAAAATAAAGACGAATCAAAATCAGCTGAGAGGAGGATGCAGAAATGGATCAAACAAAATCCCATTGGATCTGGTAAAAGTCAAGACAATTATGTTGTCTTAACGTCTGTAATAGTTGACATTTTATGGACATATATTGGTTGGTTGCAATGTCTGTTTTAGGTCGTCAGAATAACGTTTAATAAACCAAGGGATATACACCTAATTACACAAACGTTGTCCAAGAAAAAAGAACTTTTACTATTTAGGAATTAATTAAAATACAAAAGAAAGTGTTCGGCTTCAGTGGTCATGCTTTGTCTTATAATGTATTCTTAATTTCCTAAATCCTTAAATCTCAGGACAACGTTTTCATAATTAGATGTATACAAAGCATCCATATGTACATTTGTACATCTGAACTTTCTGTATCTTGATTAGCTAATAATAGAGATAATACTGCATCGTTGAACATTTCTTCATGGCATTTGATTTGTTTCAGATCCCTCTATGATTTCTCCAACTCATCTGTTTCATCCACCAAGCAAGTTTACTCAACTACTGTCCACTACCCCCTTGGGACCTAAACCTGTACTTTTCACTCCATTCATGGGTGGTGCTTCAGGAGTAAGTCAAAGGATTGTAATTTTTATTTTTGGATTATCAGAAAGTAAACCACATCAGATTGGTGAAAAGTGTTTATTTTATTAGCCTTCTTTTTAGGCATCTTTATAGGGTRCAAGGSCCTGCTTCCTCTTTTYAAGGARCTWSG